GAACATTTCTGAGGGTGGTGTGGCACTAAACAAGTATATATATTTTTTTTATTTTCAAAATAATATGATATAAAATTAATATAAAATAAATTTATTGTTTATAATTATATTTGAAAAATTCCAATAAGAAGTACATATTTAATATGAAAACAAATAAGATACAAAATAAAAATTAATACAATGATAAACTTAACTTACCAGTATTTTAAAAAATAAATTAAGTATATAATATTAAATTTTTATTTTGTATCTGATTTTTTTTTCATATTAAAAATGTTCTGACACTGAAGTGAATAAATGTACATGGTATAGAAATCAATTTCTTATACTCATTTGGCTATTTCTTTGTGATATTTTTTTGTACTACACTCACCATAACAGAAAATATTATATTAAAACATTTAACACACAAATTTATAGAAGTATATCAGTTATTTTCATACAATTTATTTTCCGAAAATAATATGTTGATTTGTTATCAATATATTTTACTAGTTGAGCAGCTCATTTTGCTATTTACATTTTTAACAACCAGCACATTTTAGCAATAGGTTGCTAGTGGCTGAAAAAGTAAATTTCTAGCCCTGCCATGCGTAAGCTTTGTATCACGTGGTATTTCCCCATGTTTACAACTTGGTTTATGATGCTTATGCTTTGTACGCAGGCTGTGAGTAATAATTACTGTAGTTAGGCATGGAGACCTTATATATAACAACTTTTATTCAAAAACAATAGTTCAAGTGAATACAATTTACTCTACAGTTTCCTTAACAATTTATTTCTCAATGGTGTTTTTTCGCGAAAGTCAGTTCGAATGAATGTTGTGGTAGATAAGATGTCAAAATCGACTGCAATCAGAGCGAACTTGGGCCGGCTCAGGTTCGGCTTACGTTCAGATATAAAGTTGGGTCGGCCCAGGTCCCGCATTGCGGGACCTGAGCCGACTCAAAAGTCGGACTAACTTTAGGTCGGCTCAGGGCCGGCTTAACATTTATTTCAGATTTAAAAAATGCTGACCCTGAGCCGGCCCTGGGCCAACTAACTCTTAAGTGTGATTGGGGTCATAATCTTATTTTTGACATGCAGTAATTCTTATGGTGTTTACTGTATTGTACCTTTTGTGGGTTGTGTGCAAAAGGTCAAATAAACTTTGAGGTACCTGCAGGGTAGGATCCAGAGATGTCCGAAAGGGAGGCCAAAAATGGGGCCTATTGAAATAGCAGGATCCTAGAGAAAAATTTTTCAAGACACCCAAAAATAACATTTAGGCAATCGATTTTTTCTTTTCTTTTTTTATTTTCATTTTTCTTGACTTTCCAAAAGGAGGCTGGGGCTGGCCCGGCCCCTGCCTAAATCTACCCCTGACTTGGTCTACTGTACAGTAGCTACTAGGATGTGTCAGAAAATATAGTAATTTAGCACAACGTTGCAATAATGTTAATCAGTGTGGGATAACAATGCATGGTAAATCTACAAAATAAGCATTTTGAACACCAAACTGCATCATTATGGTAAAATTGTTAGGTTGGGATTTTCTCATGGAAGTATTGTTTGTTTGTTTGTTTATTGTTTTTCCACACACAAAATAGAGTAAACTTAAGTTGAAACATACAATATTAAATAGGTTATAAATAATAAAAAATGTGATTAAAAAGGGAGAGGGGTAGAATAAATAAATAAAAGTGTGTGAACGGAGACCGAAATAAACTTTACAGCATGGTCACCGGTTTAAATCAGTTTCCAAAAGAAAAGAAAAAAAAAATTAAAAAAGTGATGGAATAAATACAATAAAAACAGGCCATTTGTTATATACTTGGACGTTCAGTGTTAAGTCTACCAACCAAACGCTAGTCTCGAACCAACACCAGCTATGAATAGTGCGACAACCCTGGCTTACTGCTCTGCCTCAGCCATTCAACACTCGATGCAAACTATCAAATTTTATGTGACATGCCTAAATATTGCCATGATGACATCACATCATGACCATATAGGAACATTATGGGCAGAGCTCAAGGTTGAAAAATTTTTGAAATGTAAACTTAAAACCTAGGTCTTTGATTGATTGCTCAAATAGGCACCTAAACTCTGAATTCCCCCTGATAGTTTGGTTAGATTGCTTTCACCTCATTACCATTAATTCAACTGAGATGATCAAATTGTGAATCTTGCTTTAGTTATATGCTGGTATATATAACAAAGACCTTGTCTTACTTTAATGTACCTTGCAGTAGAATGCACACCAAATTGTTAACCCTCCGATGCATATATATCAATGTTTTGATTTATCAAAAAATTTAAACACAGATTAAAGAGCTTGTTTGGTGAGTGAGAGATTCTGGTTCTTGGTTGGAATATTTTTAGTATAAAATGCTATACAAACGTGTACAATTTTTACTAAATAAAGCACCATTAATTTTGATTAATTTTAAAAGATTGATTCTTACAGCTCATTTCTTTCTTTCAAATTAAATAGCATGTAATTTTCTAATTGGGACGTAGATTCTGTCCATAGGATATTCTTGTTGTGTAGAGAGAAAAATAATTTCAAACTTTAATCTTTATCTGGATAGAATAGAAGCTTTTGTCTGAATCCATGATATGATTGAAAAAAATACCACACGTTCTTGATCTTGCATTAAAGAACCAAGTTTTGCTAATTGGGCAATCCCTGTGTAATATACTGCAAACTATGTGAAACTATAATTCTTTCATTTTCATTTTCTGTTTCTTTTATAAATTTTCTTTCTGTATGATTCTATGTGGGTCCTACAGTACTCTATGACTTTGTTAAAGATCCCAGTACATTTGAGGCTCATACGCCAAACATCTATAAATTATACATTCTATTCTTAGTTTCTTGATTAGCTTGATGCCCTCACCATTATGATGACACCTGTGAACTTAAATACACTAGCTAATTGATCTTTGATCAATTGTTGAAACTCTCTGGTGGAGTGTGGCTTTCCATCTCTGTTAGTCCTTGATTTGCTTTTTATTGGTTTTTGGCTTCGGTCTTCTGGATAGAATAGGTTAGTTGTGTGTGACCTGAAGCCCAAAATACCACATACAGTAGAGTATCAAGTACCCTAGGACTGGTAGCTAAATGTTCTCACAAAGAATGGCCCATGATAATAATACTTTATTATAAATAGTATTCAAATGTTGTCCTTTTTATCCTACAGTGTAATTCCTAGTATTTTTTTTACATTATGGCTATTATACTGTAGTACTGTACAGTATACGTTCCCATAACATTTCATTTTTAATGAAAATTCGCTAAGACTCCACTGACAGTCAGTCGACTGACGTCCACCGTGCAAGAACTCTCGCAGAGTTGAACCAATTTCATCAGCTGATGACAGTGTGTACTGTAGTACTACTAAGCTTTATATTAGGAATGCTTTCAATTGAAAACATAGAATGGGAGTCATCCGTGATTGTTGCCATGTTCATTCTATGTTCTACTTTAAATAAATTTTAATTTTTTACCACATGTGTGCGAATATGTCATGAACGCAAAGGCTTATGCGCTAATGTTTAATATAGTACAGTGTCACTCTGGCTTGATTTTAGATTCGGTCTATTTTAATTGAAAACGTAGAATGGGAGTGATCCGTGATTGTTGCCATGTGAATTCTATGTTTTACTTTAAATCAATTTAAATTTGTTGAATATGTCATGAACGTAAAGACTTATGCGCTAATGTTTAATACAGTACAGTTGTCGCTCTTGTAGATTCGGTCTATAGCCGAAATCGGTGCACAACGTTTAGACATACTTTCTACATTTTATATGAAAATTGAAACAAGTGAATTTTACGCTCACATTTTTAGGGAATTGTTGTCATACGAACTACACATCCAAATTTTGCAAATAGGTTGAGTATGGGCTGTAATATATTAAATATTTCACTCTAGAAATGTCAGTCATTCACACTTGTAATATACTGTAGCATTCAGGGTGTCAGTGAGTTATGATACTATTATGTGGAGTAGGACAACATTGGTTTGTGTCCGAGTGTCTTCCCATTATCAGGTAATCATCAACTACTCTCATGTGGAAGGAACTCCTCATTAAGATAATTTGTCATTATAAAGGATGAGTGTTGAGTATCTGTTTATTCACATGAATTATTGCTCATCAAAACAAAATAAAAAACAACAAAATGACAATGCAGTTTGACCCCCAGCATGACCTTTAAGGCCCTGATTTCCTTTTACTGCCAGCGGTTTTTCAAGCTAGACTGGTTGCTAAATGCCTATTAGTTGGCAACATGTCAGTAATTTAACAAAGATGAGAATAAAATTGATAATTTGAATAAATTATAGCCATTGTATGGAGCATACGTTGGTTTCGGCCTGTGGGGATCAGGGATGCGCGAAAATTAAGAATACGGAACTAAGTCTGTATCCCAATGAATTTTAACCCACTTTATAGTGAAACGCATTTGCTGCTATGGGAAGTGTGTCCACCCTGCCCTACCTGACACACTACACCCATGCTGTAGATTCCAGAAGTTAATGACATTTACAGGTATTATCATTGCTCTAAATAATGTCATAGTCTGTGTTATTTTGGCCTCTGTTTATGTTCAGAAATGGTTTTTTTTAACTATCATACTACATAAATAATTCACTGTATGTTATATAGAAAATCTTACAAACATAAGATATGCATTAAAAATAAACATGGAATTAATTTAAATTGGAGTAAAACCAATATAATAAATATGCATTGCTTGTGACATTTCAATCTGTTGTCAAAGTGTCTTCATTTATTCCATGTTCATACATCAGAGAAACCAGATGAAACTATTTGATATTAAAATGTTTTATAGATTGTTAATGTTTCAGCCCCGACCAAAAAATATTAATACTCAGTACTTTTTAGTAGTCATATTTAAAACTCATGTTTTATTTAAAAAAAATAAAAATATTGTTTTTTTTGTTAACGATTAATATCATTTAGTTCTATGATGATATTATGTTTCTTTTTAGAATTCGACCTCAGTTGGCGAAGGAAAAAATCAGTATGTGTCGGGTATGTGTTTCTATCACTCCTGGACTGCCACAAGTCGTCCTTGGACCTGAACGAATGTTCACCTATGACAGCGTGTTTAGCATGGACAGTACACAAGAGAGTCTTTACAACTCAACAGTACATCGCCTAATTGAAGGGTAAGTCCTGTTTGCAACGAATATTAGTGGAATCAGTAACATGCATGTATGTGTGGCAGGCATCCTTATATTCATTGATTATGCAGTAGAAAAGAATAACTTGAAAAGGACATCATCAACTTCTAAACATTAATAAATAGATTTTACTTGGTTGTGTGACTCTAAAACCTGATTTGTGGTACGTGTACAGGTTGATCCACCTGTTCACTGTGTTTTTTCTGGAGTCCAATTTAAAATTACACTTTTAGCTGTACTTGAAGATAATCAGAAGTCAGCTTTTACACTATACTAGAACGGAGAGAGGTGCTAATCACACTGATCAAGAATGCACACAACATAAAGTAAATCAGAATTGATGCAGGATGAAAAAAAGGAAAACTGCAGGGTGCTTTTGGTTCTTGCAGTTTAAATGACTTTAGCATCATACAATAACATGTACGGGACAACATAAACACAACTGTATTTAAAGTTGTATGAGTATTGACTTCGGCCATATTTGTACTAAAATGCCAGTCTTAAATCATGGCACTAAAGCATCTATGTATGTGCCTCACATTAAAATCTCTGTCATTAAATGAAACACAAATACATTCAGCTCCCAAAGGGAAAATTTCATATATGATGGCTACTATTTTGTAATCAGCATATAAACTACTACTGTAGGTGGACAGACCAATGTAAAATATGCCTAAAAAGCAACTAAGTGCAATGCAAAGCAAGAGGTTTGCACTCCTAGGGCCTGTTTCTGCTGCTTTTCCTAAAAATACGGTATAAAATATACCGTATAGAATACGGTATCTGAAATCCAGCATCCCATTTCTGCTAATAGTACTTCTTGGGTGGTCTTGTTTAAAAGGTCCTCTTTTACCCAAAATGCCTTTCGTGAGACGGAAGTTTGGATTGACTTGTGTAGTGAGTTTTTTTTTTGCTCGCGATAAACATGGTTTCTTTAAAGAACGTTGTACTGTAATTTTAGTTTCATCTATTTTATCTATAATTAAAAATTGCAACGAAGGAAGTTTTACACCCCAATTTCTGCTACAGCCTAGAAATTATTGGTGTTATTTAGTATTGGCTAATATCGTTAGTATTTTCAGTCCACATTTCGCATGCTTTTCCACGACAGAAAAATCAAAACAACTCGCGTTATGCTCTGGCTCTTGACCTCAAATTAGGGATCGGCACAAAATACGGTATTTTTTATGGCAGCAGAAATGGGGTATTAAAAATACGGTATCTGTTGCAAAATACTGGAATAATTCCACAAAAATAGTGGGGAAAAATACGGTATAAAAAATACGATATATTTTTATGAACCCTGTTTCTGTATGTAAAAAAATACTGTATTTTAAAAATACCGTCTATATACGGTATTTTTTTGGCAGCAGAAACAGGCCCCTATAGTTGATGTGTCGTATTTATAATTTGAATATAAATAAATGGTAGCTAAAGTTTGACAGTTTAAATCATAACCTCTACTCCAATCCCTCTCTCCTTAGTATTAACATCTCCGCCAAAGGATGTTATGTATTCACCGATGTCTGTTAAGCTTGGTTTCTATACATTCTCTATAGCCCTACACTATCGCCGACAGCTTTCGGTGATGCTGATTGGTCAGTTGAATCGAGGAGCCCCCCCCCCCGATTGCTTTGAAATCACTGTAGCGACAGTGTAGCGAATTTAAGAAAACCAGGCTTTAGAATGATTATGCAATAACTAAGGAAAGGGATTATCATAAAATTTGGGGGAATGATACATAGTATTCAAAAAATGAGATGTTAAATTTTGGAAAGTAAAGGCTTAAGGTTAAGGTCATGGAAATTAAATTGTTTACCCAGCATGAGCTTATAAGAAAATAATGTAATTGGCCCATCATACATGGCCTGCGTATTGTTCAGTATTCAGGCTTAGTGCAGAATTGCTTAGTATTCGATTTCCACTGTTTGTTATCAACTCAAAGAAACAAATCTCGTATATATGTACTATGTATGACGAAAATAAATCTTGAATCTTGAATCTTGAAAATAATGTAATTGGCCGATAATACATGGCCTGCGTATTGTTCGCTATTCAGACTTAGGGCAGAAAATAATGGAATCGCCCGTCATACATGGCCTGCGTATTGTTTGGTATTCAGGCACAGTGCGGCGGCATGCACTCTACTGTATGGAGTGACTGCTCTAGTGTTAGGTTTTGAATTGCTATTAATATTTTTATGAATGTACTTTGAACTATTAATGATTATCAAATTAGAAACATTTTTAAAGTATAGATATTGACTCTTTAATAACCTTAAAATTCTTGAGCCTAGCAATAATCTGTTGTTTCATTCTTGACCTTTAGCCATATTAACCTCATCCATACAGTACTCTATGTACTCATGATCAATGTCATAAACTTGAGATCTAATTAATATGAAACCATATCTTCATTTACCATATAAGTATGATATGTAGTTACGACCTTTACTACATGATATACTATAGGCCTATTCATGACTTAAAATGATTAGTTCATTGATGTCATTGACAGTCCTTTTTCTTCATAGGATCTAATTCAGGAAATTCTTTCAACTATAAATATAGGAAACAACAGATGTTGTCTGATGACATCACAGAATCTTCAACTTTGACCTTTTATAACAGTATATCAAATTTGCATAGCTACTGTACTGTAATTACCAGGGATGTCACCAGCTTTTTGAAGTGCCGGTCGGCGATAATTCCGCGTTTTCCCGGGGCTGGGGAGGTTCGCCGTATTTTCGAAAGCTCTTAAAACCAAAAGGCCTAAGTAAGTCAAGCAGGCCTAGGCCCAAGGCTAGCTGACGCGATTTTTTTGTACCCAGCCGCATTGTTTGCCGTAATTTCACATGTTTGATGATTACCACAATGAATGTGTATGTCACTGATTCATGTGCACTCATTTATTTATTTTTTGTCCATTTACACACATTATATATCAATTATAATTAAAAGTGAAAAACTTAAAATACAAAATGAAAACAAAGTAAAGGAATAAAACATAATAAATCAGGTTTCATAAATTTTTAATAATCTTCCTGCCCCGGACCATGATCTCATAATAAAACACTTGAATGGTCACGATTTCAACTTTAACCTTTGAATGTGTACAGAGCAACCATGTCATGCCAGCCCACGATGTTCGCTATGACTCAACTGGGCCTAGGCCTAGGCTGTTAAGTTAGCGATGAATAGCAGCATGAATTAACGTAACCACGGAAACATTTATTGTATTCTTATTGTCTTTTCTATCAATTTAGCTTGTCTATTGTGTTTAGGTAAACTAATTATTTTGTTACAATTTGTAAACTGTTGAAATAATAGTGGTGGTCGGGAGCCTGTAAATCCTGGTCGGAAATGTTGAGTGCTGGACGGGCCCGTCCACCGCAGACCAGCGTGGTGACATCCCTGAATTACTTTTGTCATTCCTATTAATTTTTTAAGTAATAACATTATTTTAATTTAATATTGTGTAAAATATAAAAAGTATTCTAATTAATTGATAATTATTTAAAATGTATCTACGGTAGGCCTACAAATAACATGTATATAAACTAAAATGTTAACCAGCTATGTTGCATAACTGTAGCAGACAACAGCATGTGATAGAGAGTTGATAAAGCTACATTATACTATAGATGGCCATATTGCATTCCAACATAATAAATCTTCATGTGTCATTTGCATTTTCCATTTATTTTAATGAATGTTGGGTCAAACAACATGTCATACATAACTTGCTGTCAATTGTCATACAATAATTGACCTCACCCATGATTCTGATCATTACAAATAAAATACAGTTCATTAAAATGGTTCATCTATTTGAATGTGTCTGTTTGAACATTGCTAAAATATACAGATTAATGATGATACTAATAAATTGAATTGCTAGTTGCCCTCATCAAATTTTGGCACCTATTTTGGTGCTATTTTCCAAACTGATGATGATCTGAAAGGTTGCTGTCATAGCCGAAGAAGAGGTGAAAACGTAAATGGTAGAATGAACTACAAAGATTCATTTTACAGTATCTTCTTTTTAAAAATATATTTTATATTATTTACCAGCCTGATTACCACTAGTATAATAGAATAGTAAATAGCAAATAGATACCCTCACCAGAAAATAATTTTAAAACTTGAATGTGAAACAAACAAATAATTGTATTTGCTATGCTTTGGGTAGCTACGGGATCAGGTCATGTTTTTATTCATGAACAGATTCCTGTGGATTACTTCATAAAATTGCAGTGTTGTTAAATGTAAACTGTGTAAACAGGGTGCATTGCTGAGACCTCATTATGATACCTACTGTAGAGAGTGGGGTTTGTTATTGTTTGCAGAATTCGGCCAAATTATGTTCTGCCTCCAACCATGCTCCAACCATAAAAATAAAATGCTTCCAGCACTCTGTGGTTAACTTGTTCACTGTAGCCTAACAGGTGTCTTGAAGAAAATAAACATTTTTTTTATGCGTATGAGAAGATAAAATGCAATAACTGACCACTGATCACACATATGGCGATACGTCCTGTTCCAGCCCTGGATTTTGCATAAACTTTGGAAACTATGAGGATTTAAATTAGAGGCCCTGGGAATATTAAGTATTGAATAAAATTCCATGATTTTAAGACTTTTAACAATTATTACTGTAGTTTGTATTTTTGACTTAGGCTTCGTTTAGTTTTATCAAGCTTCCAATTGGTTATTAAAGACCTAGCTTTGTGTCTCCTGAATAATTGATTTTTCCTTTTTAACCTTGGTGGCCTGTTTAGTAGTTGTTCTAACAGGACTATCTGAACCCAGTTTCTTTATCATTTTATACCTCCATGATCTTACAACTTTTTTCAGTTATAAAAAAATTTCTTTAGTTTCTGGTAAATTTAAATTGTAATTCAGTCTGCTAAATTTTGGAATTATTTTTGTAAGTGTTACTTATTCAATACTGATCAATATATGGCACAAACTAAAACCCTTGTC